TGAATGGAGCACTGGGTGTTATATGCAAACAATGAATCATGGAGCACTACATCAAAAACTAGTGACGTAATGTATGGCGATTAACATAGCATAATAAAATAAAATTTAAAAAAAAAGAAGCAAAGGAAAAAATGTACAAACTTAGAGGAGTGACCCCGACAGAGCTGAAACTCAGATCTCTGAGAAGATGCTGCTCAGCTGGTGTTGGTGTCTGTGAACTTAGAGGAGGGACTCCATAGGACCCAGACCTCTAAGGCAGGAACACCGGCTGGCTGGTGTTGGTGTCTTTGAGTCAATGAAATGTGTAGAACTGTAGAAAAACTACAAACTGGATTCAGTTGTTGCTATAGAAAGGACCTGCTGCTACCAGGATAAAGAAGCATTGCAGAGGTAAAGCATACAGGAACCAAAAATTCACAGGAAGCAGTCTTGAGGTAGACAGGAAGGAACAATTCTATTGTCCTTCTTTAGTCTTGGGGTCTCCCTCTGGTGCCACCAGGTTGAAGAGCTTAACAGAACCAGCTGGCAAGCAAAGAAATGTGGTTTTCAGAGTCCCAGCTCCGTCATCAAAGAAGAATACAAAAGGGTGAGTTTAGAGCTGACATAATAATGTAGTAATTAGCACTTGACTGATACGGAAATTGATACCAGAAATGGAGGTTATCTTTCATCCTCTAGTTTGCATATATTTTATGAAGACGGTTAAAGACCTTGCTACTTCCTGCTCCCCAGATCCAATGACTGTAATGTCATCAGTGTGCTGGACCAACTCAGTGCTGATTGGAAGGTCAAGATGCTCAATATCTCTGTGGACTACATTATGGTAGAGAGCAGGAGAACTGACATAGCCCTGGGGCAAGACAGTGAAGTTATACTGTTGGCCTGCCAAGTAAAAACCAATAACTGCTGGTGTTCTTTCTCAATTTGTATGGAGAAATAAGCCTTTGTTAGGTCAATAGCTGCATACCAGGTGGCAGGGATTGTGTTGATTTGCTCCAGTAAAGATATTACATATAGAAGGCAGCTAGAGATATCACCTGATTAAATTTATAATTCTCTACAATCATTCTCCAAAATCCATCCAAACAGGCAAATTAAATTGGCATGAGATAGGTTTCATCACTCCCTGCTTCTTTCAAATCTTTACTGGTGTTACTAATCTCTGTAATTGCCCATTCTGCCATCCCACGAAAGCAATAATTTTTGTTTACTCTCCTGGTATATATGTATGTGGAGGAGGGGAGCTCCCAAGGGCTACAACTTGGCCTTTCATACTATAAGGCCACTTATTTCAGGATCAGAGAGCCAATATGGAAATTCTGCCAGTTACCATGTATCTATTCTATTTTTATTTTTTTATTCTTATGTTAATCCCCATACATTACATCATTAGTTTTAGATGTAGTGTTCCATGATTCATTGCTTGTGCATAACACCCAGGGCTCCATGCAGAATGTGCCCTCCTCAATACCCACCACCAGGCTAACCCATCCTCCC